CATCCTGCAACCCCACTGTGCAGATGAGACCACTGAGGCCTAGAGAGTGACTGTGACTTGCTCAAGGTCATGGTGAGTCAGGCGGAGACCACAGAACCCAGGCCTCTACCTCCTGGCCTCCTAGCCCCCGGGGGCCCGGCCACTGCTCCGCACCGAAGCAGCCAGGACTTGGAGCTTCAAACTCCACACCGTAATGGGGGATGACTCGATTTACCTTCCTATAAAACGGAAAACCACCCACTGACATCAAGGCTGGGGCTCCAATGCCAGAGCTGGGCTGCCGGATGAAGCCGAGAGGGAAGCGGGAGGAAAACTCATTGCCCGGCTTGGTTTGGGCGGGACCGGGGCTGCCCTGGCTGATGGCTTTGGGCTGAACTGTTTGAAGTGCATGTGCCAGGCTGGCCCCCAGAGGCCCTGACCTCACTGGGCAGAGCCCTGGGAATGCCCCAGGCGTCTGCAAGTCCAGCATCGGCCCAGCTGCAGCCTGTCCCAACAGAGACCACAGGGTGCACCTGCTGTCATCCCTCGGGTGGGGGCGCTGCCGTGCAGAGAACATTCAAGGCAGGGTGCAGGGATCACCATCCTGACCCTCAGATGGGGCCGGGGCCCACTGAGCCCCATCACTGCGTGTCCCTGGGCTGGTCATTTAACCTCTGGAAAATAGAGAAACGGGGCACAACACCCTAGGCCACTTGGAGCAGAAGCCAACCATGGCCTACAAGATCCTCCAAGATGGGGCCCCGGCCACCTTGCCAAGCTCACATGTCCCTCTTCTGTCACACGCACCATTGCAGCCATGCTGGCTTCTGTGCACATCCATAGACACACCAGGCATGACCTGCCTCAGGGCCTTTGCACTTGTGTTCTCTGCCTGGAACCTTCTTCCCCTGGATGTCCACATGGCTCACTTCCTCATCTCTGTCAAATCTTTCAAATTTCACCTTCGCAGGAAGGCCCGCCCCTGCCCTGCTCTCCCTCTTTTTCATACACGGATTATCTTCTGGTCTGAAGACAGTCTGGATGATTCACTTAGAATGGCTATTGTCTGCCTCCCTCATTTCTTCTCTCTCTTCACGGATGCACTCCCAGTGCCATATGCCTGGCATCGCGCATAGGACTGAATGAAAAAAATATATGCCGGGGGCCCGCTAATTTTTTCTGTGGAGGGCCAGCAAGTAAATAGTTTTGGCTTTGCAGGACACCCACAAGCTACTTAGATTTGCTGCTGGAGGGAGAAACAAAAGCGATGTGTGGGGACTGGATTAGGCCCGTGGGCTCTGCTGTGCCAACCCTGACATGCATATGTACACATACCTATTTGAGCACCTACTCTGTGCCAGGCCCCGAGTGAGCATTGGATCATAAACACATTGCTTGCTTTCTGGGAGCTTGATGTTGCAGACAGATAAGTAAACAGACTGATACAGTCATAATAGTAAAAACGTTGATAAAAGGAGCAGAGACGAGGCTGAAATCTAGAACGATGAGAGCAGGTTCCCTTTGGAGAGAGTGGTCGGTATGGGAAACGCCAGGTTTCAGGCAGCTGAAGGAAGGGGTGAGGCTGGAGCACAGGGAGCCGTGGAGCTCAGGGAGGGGTGAGCCGTGAAGGGGACGGGGACGGGGGTGCTGGTGGACGACACAGGACCTCTGGGCCTGGCTAGCTGGATTTTATTCTATGCGCGGTGGAAATGCAGAGACCTTGATTTTCCTTCGAACAAGCTGAGTGCAGGAGGGGCCGGTGAGGGGCTTCCAAACGCTTGGGGCACAGAGTGGGGGACGTGGGAGTATTTTGGAAACAGAATCAACAGCAGTGGCCAGTGGGTCGGGTGCGGGGAGTGTGGCAAAGGTGAGAAGTTTCTGGAGCCCTGAAGGGACAGGGGTGGCCTCGATGGAGATGGGCCACCCCTGGAGGTCCGGCTCCCCCTTCCGCCAGCCTCCACTGAGGGCAGGCTGATGGTGGCTGGGCCTGCACCTGTGCCCATCCCTCCACATCTGCTTCTCATTTTCCAGATAAGGGCCACTGAGGCTCAGGAGGGGACGTGACCTGCACAGAGCCACATGGCGAGGACACAGCCGGCCAGGGACACGATTCAGGGCTCTTAGCTCCTACGAGGCCGCAGCTCCCCTGGGCTGCCAGGAGACCGGGCTCGGGCTGCAGGAGAGGTCCAGTTGGGCTGGGTGCTGTCTAAAGTGCCTGGTCAGGGAGCCTGTAGGCAATCCCATGTCCACTGCAGCACAAGCCGTTGGGGGTGCCCTGCAGGGTTCTGGGGAGAGGACAGGAGCCTAGTGTCACCTCCACACCTGTGCCTGTGCTGCTCCTGACATCTGTCCAAGTCCTCATGGCTCTTCGGGGCCCACAGCTCCAGCAGAGAGTCCCTGAGGGGTTGAGGTAGGGGAGCAGGACATCCAGGAGACACTTCTGGAAGACGGGGTGGGGGGTGTGTGCAGACGGCAGCTCCAAGACACAGGGACCTGCCAGCGAGGCCTGGAGGCAGCGAAGTGCTGGGCGTGGAATGGCGGCCAGTCTGCTGTGACCAGAGTCCCCTGGGCTTAGAGAGACGAGTGGCCAGGGCCTGAAGGCCAGCCACACAGGTCAGGGCTCTGCTCTGACAGCAGGGGTCCAGGGAGGGGTCTTGCGTGGTGGCTGATGAGCAGGCGGGAGGAGGGGGCTTCTGCTCTCTAGAGATCTCCTGTCTCCCATCCACCTGGCGACTCCAATCTCTGATGCCTGGTGGGGCTTGACCTCAGGGAAATCCGTCCCCTCCCCAGGCTTCCGTGTCTCCTCTGGTCTGATGGGACAGGCGCTTGGAGAGTCCTTCCTGCTCTCGTATTCACAACCCTGGGCTTCCCTCCTTGGGCTGGAGGTAGACACGCGTACAAGTGCACACACACACACACACACACACACACACACACACACGCTCCCGCTCACACAGCACCACCGCCAGGGGCCGCAGTGAGGGGCCGCCGACCTGACACCTGTCAGAGTCCACACTGGCTGGTCTCTCTCTCCCAGGGAGGGTAAAGGAGGGGCCTGGATGGAGAGGGACAGGGAACAAGGCTTTGGGGTGACGCCAGGCTCCTCCTGGGCTCGGTGTCCTTAGGGCTTGGGGTCTGGGGACATCGGAGCTCCACTAGCCCAACTGGGCAGTGCTGGTCAGCTCCGGGTTGGGCCGGGCACTGCCGCAGTTCGAAGGGGCCCCGTACGCGCTGGTCCCACGCAGCTCGCTCTGCCCTCTTGGGAGCCTGTTGGTCCCAAAGGCTGTATTTCCGGTCATCTCCCCCGTACTAAGCAGGCCCAGAACGGCAGATTTGGAAGGCAGAGTGGAGGCCCTTGAGCTCACAGGGCAGAGTCCTGCCCTCCTTCCCTGGGCTCCCCCAGTAGTGGGGGGGGAGCAGGATTAGGGGTATGAGGCTCCCACCCCCAGGACTAGGACTCCAGCCCCATATGCAGCCCCAGGGTCTGGGATGGCAGCGGCTGTATCCAGGGCAGCCTCTGGGGACCAGCCTGGGGCTCAGGGCTGCAGACCTGTTTCCCCACGCCCATTAGTCTCCTCGAGCCTCCCCCAGGAAGCCCTCCTGGACTCCTCCTTGTCAAGGACCCCTGGGAACCAAGGACACAGAGCTCCTCCTTTTATGTCTCCAGGCAGGGGCCAGACTCAAGAACAACACTGCTCTTTGCTGGGCATTGGCCACTTGGGACTTTATTAACATCAGCAGCGTCCCCCGCACAACTGCTCGCGCACGGCCACGAGCTCCTCCCACCCTCACAGCAGCGCCGGCGGGCGTGGGGGTCTCTCCCTCCTTGTCCACGGGGCACTGAGGCCACACATAGAGTGAGCGGTGCCTGGGTCCTGCGGTCACCTCGGGCCCCCGCACAAGTTCCTCTCCCGTTCCCCAGATCGACCTGTACGCGGGGGCACTCTTTGTGCACATCTGTCTGGGCTGGAACTTCTACCTCTCCACCATCCTCATGCTGGCCATCACGGCCCTGTACACCATCGCAGGTACAGCGCCCTGGCGGGGGGCGGGGGGGGGACCCGCAGGGAGGGAACCTGACCTCCAGCCCGGGCGTCCACGTGACCGGGCACATGAGTACAGGAGCCCGAGAGGAGGGCGGGGCCGGGGGGCCACCTCGCTGCACAGCCTGTCCGGCGACGATTTGAATCGGGCTCTGCCGGCCCAGGTGTGTGGTCCCACAGCTCCCACACCTGTGAGAGGGCAGGGGACACGTGCATGGAACAGCCATCCCTCCCTCCTCGAGGCACAGCCTTCTCTAGCTCCCTTTTTTCTACCCACAGGGGGTCTAGCCGCTGTGATCTACACGGACGCCCTGCAAACGCTCATCATGGTGGTGGGGGCCATCATCCTGACTGTCAAAGGTGAGGGGCTGAAGGGGCTATCCCAGCAGCCACTGCTCTCGGGGGTCTGCCCTGTTAGGACCCAGGTGCCAACACTGGGCGGGGGCAGGGGGGTGGACTCACAACGTCAAGGCACGAGGCAGTCAGCCCCCCGTCACCCTCCCCTGGGTGACAGAGGCTGCATGTCCCTTTCCCACCTCTACCGCCCGGCTGCCAGTTGTCACCAGCTCTGGGTCATCTCAGGTGACTCAAGAATGCAGGGCCAGTGCACCCGTCCTGGCTCAGGGCTAGGTGGTGAGGTAAGGACGAGGGCATGTGCCCACACAATCAGGAAACCACAAAAAACTGCCCAGGCACCTGCTCCAACTGTTTAAAATCGTGTGCATGATCCCAAGAAGCGCTGCAACAGGCTGCTGGACGACAGCAGGGGGGAGGGAAGAGGGTTTACACGGGTCGGTGATATTGGTCTGGGAACCTGGAAGAAGCTCAGAGGGCTCCCGTAATAAATAGGTACTAAACTTCCCGTCCAGGGAAGTATGCAGTCAAAGCCAGGAGGATCCCACCGAGGGTGAAACAGAGAGGCCCTAAAGCCTCCTCCAGACCCAGACTGTAGGCTCCTGTGGCCCGGCAATTTCCGATCTTTGTATAGTGTTTGTACGTTTGCCCTGAGTACTTACCCCGGCCTGGCCTGGGCTCCAGGCAGCCAGGCCCAGCCTGGACGGGAGGGAGTGATTACAGACACAGTAAAAGGCACAGGTGGGCCAGGGCTTGGCCACACAGGGCCCTGACCCTGAGGTAGACAGGAACAGCGAGGGGGTGAATGCGGGCTGGTCTCGAGAGGAAAGACTTCCGGCTCAAGCCCCAGCCGGTGGGCCATGTGGCCTTGGTCACGCCCTTGTCCCTTCTGGGACTTCTGTTCTCAGTGCTACATGCCAGCCGTCCTCAGCTCTGCCCAGATCACATCCTTTAGAAGCCCTGGGTCAGGACTTTAACACTTTAGACTCCCCGGGAAGGTTCTCCAATGCCAAAAAAAAGAACAAAACAAAACTTTTGCCTCTTTGATTCGACAGTCCGAAGCTGGACAGAGAACACCGGCCCGAGGCCACTAGGCATCTGGGGTCAAGAGGACACTGTGGTGTCCGCGTGCAAAATGCTCATTTAATAGTATTATTTTTAAATACAAATAAAATAGTCTGAGTTCCCCTGTCTTGTAAAACCCTCTACCCTGCATAACCTTTCCAGACACTGGGAAAGGTGAATGGGAAAAAGTCAAGGTCGATGCACTGGGAAGTGGGGGCCCAGAGTCAGGGCCACCAGCCACCCACCCATCCCTGCCCCGCCCCCTCCAGCTTTTGACCAGATCGGCGGGTACGAGCAGCTGGCGGCAGCCTACGCCCGGGCCGTCCCTTCCAGGACCATCGCCAACACGACATGCCACCTGCCGCGCGAAGACGCCATGCACATGTTCCGGGACCCCTACTCGGGGGACCTCCCGTGGCCCGGGATGACCTTGGGTCTGACCATCATGGCCACCTGGTACTGGTGCACTGACCAGGTGAGTGTCCATGTCGCCGTCCGCCCCACCTTCCTGCCTTCTGGGTGGGCTCCGGACAGTCTGCGTGGCCCCAGGAACACCCGCTTGGGGAGTGTGGGCTGGGGCACAGGCCACGGACCGCAGAGCCCCAGGCCCAGGCACAGGGCGCTAGGGGTCCTTGCGGTCCCGGGGGCCCTGGGCCCTCCGTTTAGAATCAGACGAGGCCCACTGGCCGCTGCCCGTCCTGGCCTTCAGGTGCTTTGACTGGGACAGTTTGGAGTAGGGGATGCCAAAAGGGCTTGGCAGCTCCTCAGAGACCCTGCCACCGGCCTGGGGGCTGGCATTGCGGGCCGGCCGTGGGGTCCCCGGATCTGCCAGCGTGCGGGGCACGGGGCCCCCCTTGGCCTGCCAGGAGTGCGGGCTTGCTGCGGCTGGGCTCGCTTTCCTGGTAGAGCTCTGGGTGCCATCAGCAGCAGGGCGGTACCGCAGGGGCCCCGAGGTCCTCACGGGCCGCAGGAAGCCGTCTTTATCCCTGGTCCCTGACACAGGGACTCTATAATGGGAGATCTGTTGGCCCTAGGAGAGAAAGAGGGAGACGGTGAGGAGACCCCTGGCCGGGGGCGTGCTGCAGCAAGCTCAGCTGGGTTTGGCCTCTTGGCCACGCCACTCACCCGCTGCTGGTCTGAGACAAGCTCATCTCACTAGTTTGTGCCTCAGTTTCCCCACATGTCACAGGCGATTGGTCCCGCCTTTCGTGGTTATGATAAGGCAGGTTCCTACAATTCTGGCCCCAGCCTCCTCCACCTGTCCACCAGAGGGGTGCCTCAATCCGGGCCCGCAGCACTGGGGAGCGCAGGGGTGAACAGCGCCCCCTACTCTGCCTGCCCCAGAAGGCCAGGGGCAGTTCCAGGCAGCAACAGGTCTTGTGCCAGCAGAGCCCCAGACACCCATCTTACCCAAGGACCCCGTCACAGGAGTGAGGCCGCCAGGCCCAAGGGCCAATCCAGCTGGCCACCTTGGGAAGAATGACGAGAGCTTCCCTGCAAGGCAGGCCTGGCATTCACAGCCGCAGCGCCGAGGCCCAGAGGGCAGAGCTGGGATCTGGGATCTGCACCCAGAATGCAGTGACCTCCTCCGGGGCCACGGCTGCTGCCCGGCGAGGGGACGGCTCGGCAGGCTCAGCCCCGCCTCTCCCTCTCCCAGGCAGCAGGGCGCGGTGCGTGTTCGCTGAAAGACGGCCTCTGGGCTGTGTCGGCGGGAAGCAGTCCCGGTTGGGAGGCTTCGGGGACCCTGGGGGGGCATCCCCGTCTGCGAGGCGCTGCCCCGAGCCTCCCAGCTGGGCTGCGTCTCACGTGTGGGCACCTGTGGGCACGTGTGAACTGACAGCGGGCTCCTGCCCAGCACCCAGGAGGGCTGAGGGCCGGCCGTGCCCCTTCACCCCCACCCAGGGCACCTGTCGTTTCCTCCCCACTCCGCAACGGCCCGGCTGGCGCTGCCGTCTCTGGCGGGACACAGGGCAGGAGATTTTCCCATAAAGGCCAAGTGAGTCGGCACACTGCCTGGCCTCGAGTCAGGGCCAATGGGCCTCACTGCCTGGACACGAGCACACAGAGGCCAAATGCAGCTGACCCCAAGGTGTTCCAGGGTGGCACGGACACGGGCCTCACGGCCTGGCTGCGGCCTCACCTCCTCGTCGTCCTCTGCTTGGACCTCAGACCAGACCCCGCAACGCAGGCACCTGCAGCCGGGGTCCCACCGGGTCTGCCTGGGGCACAACCAGGACTTGGACCAGAGCCCTGCAATGTGGGCACCTTCACACCGCGTCCCACGTGTCTGGCCCTACATGCAGTGACGACCTCCCCCCCCCCCCCAGCAAGCCGGGGCTTTGTGCGACTTGACCGAGCCTCTGGGCCAGCCCCCCAGGCCCACTCCGGTCAGCACCAGAAGGCAGCTCTGCAGACTGGGGCCACCGTGCTTTTCGTGGTTTTTAGGCTTTTCTCTACCTCCTACCTGGTCCCCAATGTGTCACTGACACTTGAACTCAGAAACAAACCGTCCCAGTGAGACAGGAGACGAAAGGCCCAATGGGCAGAGAGCTCTGCCGAGCCCCTCTCTGACCCCAGTGTCCCCGTCTGAGATGAGGGGAGGCCCAAGGGCCAGGAGGCCTCCTGGGGTCCTGCCTGCTGTGGCGATGCACCTGCTGTCCCCCGCTGCTGCTGCAGTTTCACACGCAGCGTCCCTCTTAGGTGACAGCAGCAGCTGCATTAATCAGAATAGCGAGCACCGTCTCTCCCGCTCAGGCCAGGTGCGGGGTGGGCGTGGCATCCCTAACCTGGTTTCACCCACGGGAAAGTTCGCTCGTCTTTACTTCACAGCCGAGACGGCCAGCCAGCCAGGCCAGTTCAGGGCTTTCCCAAAGAGTCCAAACGCTCCCAGGCCAGCACCCAGCCGTGGCTCACCCCGAGGTTGCACCCCAACGGAAGCCTGAGCCCCAGGAGCTCGCGACCAGCCGGGCGTGAGCTTGGCCGCCTATATGGTGCCTTGCTCAGTCCTTGCAGCAACCCTGCGGGTCGGCGCTAGAAGCCCACTTTGCAGACGAGGACACGGGAGCTTACGTGGCCGAGCACGGGGAGTGGGTGCCGGCTTCCGGCCCAGCCTGTGCTGAGAGGTCCTGGGGACGCAGCTTCTCCAGCTGCGGAATGGGGCGACAGCAGCTGTCCCCGCCCCTGCTTCCCAGGGCCGCCCGCCGTGAGCAGAGAAGGAAATAACAGGAACACGATACGCAGGGTTTCAGGGAAATACGTTTTCTCTTCCATGAGGAGTGCAGCCCGGGGCTCTTGGCACCAGGGACATCAGAGAAGCATCCACAGACAGCTGTGTCCAGACCCTGTAACGAATGTTCTATGGTCTCAGAGGGAACCCAGTGCTGGGAGCTATCCGTTCAGCCAGCATGTCTGGAAAATAGGTTAAAATCACAGATTCTTACTTCTGAACCGCAGCTGGGGACTTAAACTGCCGAACACCAAATGAAAAATACTTAGATGTAGAAGATGTAGGCTCTACAACGCCGTGAACACACTAAACCTGTAAGGTCAGTTTTGTACAGTGTAGCGGCTGAGCCACACGGGACTTACACTTCCATAAACTGCTTAAAGTCACACTTTAAAAAAAAAAAGAAAATCATAACGTCAGAGCTGGGAGGGATCTCAGATGCCATCAGTTCCAGTGATCTGTCCCTCCTCCTATTCTGCAGATCTGGAAACTGAGGCCCAGTTAGGATTAGTCTCAGAATACGTGTGGCGCCGTGCTCAGGCAGCACCCCTCTACTACTTGACCGCAAGCTCCCCCAAATCCCAGGGTTTCAAGCTCTGGACCTCGGCCAGGGATACAGAATGGTGGTACCCCCGCAGAGGGCTGGGACTCACCCCTCCTTGTGCCCCCAGGTCATCGTGCAGCGGTCGCTGTCCGCCCGGAACCTGAACCATGCCAAGGCAGGCTCCATCCTGGCCAGCTACCTCAAGATGCTGCCCATGGGCCTGATCATCATGCCAGGCATGATCAGCCGTGCGCTGTTCCCAGGTAGGGCACACCTCAGGGGCCGGGCCGTGGATGCATGGCGCCCAGGCTTCTGGGTCCCTGACCTGCAGAGGTCACCAGGAGGAGACGCAAAGGACAAATGTGAGGTGTTTCCTGGCCTAGGGGAGAGGCAAGGAGAGTGCTCCCCAGGGCCGTAATCAAAGGGACTGACATGCGGTGGCGTGGCATAAGGTCCAGACAAGGACCACTTACTGCTATGTGACCTCAGGGCTAGAAAGAACCGTCTCTGTGCTGTCAGCAAACAAGGAGGGGGACCACCCCCACGGCAGGGCGGAGTTGACTCCCTGTAACATCAGGGTCTGAGATCTCTGGGTATGTTAAGTGCGTTTCCTTTCGGCTCCTACTAGCTGGCTTAGGTTGACTTTGTAGGGGGCACCGAGGCTGAGGGTCCCCAGCGTCAGTAGGGACCAGCCACGTGTGTGGCCCTGGGTGGTTGCTACCTACCCCCTCCCTCTGTTCATCAGTTTCCCCATCTGTAGCATGCAAAGCCGTCTCATCTGGGGGTGCGGCACCCCAGCAGATGACCACTCTGGGTGCCCAGGGCTGGGGGAGGGGCTCCCAGGAGCCCATGCAGGGGCCCCAACCCACCTGTGTCTCCTTGTCCGTGGCGTGCGGAGCTTGCATCCTCCTTGGGGTACCCACCTCTTCTCTCTCCCGACCTGAGGCCCATGGCGAGCCACTCAGGGGTCCACCAAAGGTCCCGCGGGTCATGTGGGGGGCACTCAGCTGTCGTCGGGGGGACGGTGCCGGCCCGTTGGCTACCTGCTCTGAGTGGCGCCTCTGCAGAGGGGCCAAGCGCCCCCTCACCTCAAAGTACTCGTCTGACACAGAAGACGAGGCTGCCGAGGGCCGCCGAGGTCCAGGGCCAAGGCCAGAGCTGCCTGAAAGGCTGTCCTGGTCACTGAGGGTCACGTAGTCATCATCGTCTTCCTCCTCCTCCCCATCTAGCCCATTAGGGATCACCACTCCGTGGCCGTCAGGGTCATCCTGGGTCACAGACACCTGCCGCTGGAGCGGGGCATGGCCTGGGCACGGTGTCCCAGGCGGAGCACAGTCTGTGCCATTCTGGGCCGTCTCCTCCTCCGGCGCCTCCAGGGCCCAGGCCAGGCCACCGTCCTGGGCAAGCAGCTGTGCCACAGGGACAGTCCGGGGCTTGGGCACGGGGGGCTGTGCCTCAGGGTCCCCCTGGGGAAGGCCGTTCTTAGCGTCCTCGGCCGGGACCCCGTCCTGGGGGGCGCTGGGCCCAGAGGCGCCCCGGCCGCAGTCCTGGCTCTGCCTCCATAGCTGGGTGCCGGCCTGGGACGTGTCTCGGATCTTGATGCGGTTCATCTGGCTGGGCTGGGGGTTCCAGATGTTCGGGTCGATGATATTGATGTAGCCCAGGATGTCACTGCCGGGCTCCGGGTCCGGCTCCACCCACGTGGGCAGGTATTCGAACATGTTGGCCCGCTCCAGGTGGAGCAGCCCAGGGTGGACCGGAGGGGGCGCCTCCACCAGGTCCCCAGGCCGCTCGGCCAGCGCCGCGCCCCGCAGCCCGGGGGGCTTTTTCACCTCCTGCTTCTCAGACGAGGTCTTGGCGATCTCGTCGGCGCTCTTGGCCTTGACCAGCGCGTACTTGGGGTTGACGAGCTTCTTGGCTATGGTGCCCGAGGGCACCAGTGGTACCACAGGGGGCAGCACCATGGGCTCCAGCTCCGGCTCCTTCTCCATGGGGATGCCCTTGAGGCTGACGCCGTGGGACATGAGATAGAGCTCCTGGAATTGCCGGTCAAACATCTCCACCACCTGGCCAGACAGCACGGAGATCACGTTGCGGTCCGTCCGTGCGGCCGACCACGTGAAGCTGCAACACAGGGGGAGGGGCAGCCCAGTCAGGCACGTGGGGGCCTGCCCCCCGCCCTCCAGCCTCGGGTCCCCCACCCGGCACCCGCAGGCGGTGTTCATCAGGCTGTGGCTTCGGGGCCCTGGATGGAATGAAGAAGGGACCAGGGGCAGAGAACGGCACGGGCCTCGGGGTCAGACCTGAGCCTGGGACAGGTCGCTCGCACCACGGCCGCCCCCGCCCATGTAATACAGCTCAGCGTGGCGCTCCTGTGGGGCGTCAGGGCACCCCACAAGGCCGCTCGCAGAATGCCCGGAACAGCCCTGCTGCCATGGAGAGCGCGGGGCAGGTGCCATCATTGTGACGTTGCTGCCCATCCCTGCGTGACCGTGGGCGCCCCCCCCCAGTTTCCCCCACTCAGTGGGGCTTGCCTGGGGGGGGCCACAGACATCTTCATCCTGGCCCAACCTCAAGGGTGGCTCTCAGTGACTGCCCTGTGTGCCTGGCCCACACCCGCCTCCAGGCTGGTGACACCTTAGGCCAGAACAACAGTCTGAAGTACAAAAGCGCTCCCCAGCCTGTTTCCGGAGCCGGGCGGGCGGCGTGAGGGTGTGCCCCGGCCCCGCGCACACCTCAGCAGTTTTGGGACCAATGAACCGGAATAACAGGAGTGTCATAAGGCAGGATTAAGGGCAGAAACCATCTGGGAACCGGAGACACCTCTGTCCCCAGACCCCGGAAAGCTGGAGACTCACCTGTAGGAGCCGCAGATGGCCCGGTCTCCATCCACGAACATGAACTTCTGGGCCAGGGCACCCTTGAACTTGGTGGCGGACCGTGTGAAGAACTCCGTTCCCCCGCTGCTCCGCACCCTAAGATGCTGTGTTGGGGGAAAGAAGGCAGAGTCACACGTGGCCACAGCACAGACCACACTGGCGGGGTGTGCAGGGCACGGGGCTCGGATGGAGAAGGGTGGAGCAGCAAGGCCTGGAGAAAGGGGGTGCTGTATGTGGGGACCACAGGGTCACAGCCAAGGTGGAGCGTGCAGGGACATGAAGCTGGGGGGTGACAGTGACAAATGGCATGGTGCAGGGAGGTCAGGGCGTGGCCTGGAGAGTGTCCACAGAGCAGCCCCGGCAGGACAAGGCCTGCGTGGCCAGGCCGGCTTGGGAAAAGCCGGTGCAGGCAGCAGGAGGGGCGAGCAGACACGCTTTAGAAAAGTCACATGGTGGCTGTGCAGACGCGGAGGAGGGAGGCCTGCTCCCGGGGACCTGGGTATCAACGCTCGGGCAAGTCTATGACCTTCCCAGGGTGAGTGAGTGGCCCTGTGGCTCCGAGCACGCCAGCAGGGCCCCGGGAGACCGCGGGAAGTGGAGCGAAGACCCAGAGGGAGCAGACCTGGGCCCACCTCTGCCTCCTGCCCGAGCCAGGTCGCTCCTGCCTTTCTCCAGACTCTGGCCATGTAAGGCCTCCCTCGTGCGCAGTCCGCGGGGCGCTGTGGGACCTCCACCAGGAGGTCCTTACTTGGAGGGAGGAGCAGGCATGAAAAGCCAGAGCTGGGGCACAGCAGACCCCAGGAAGGGCAAAGCGAGCCTGGTGAGGCCCAGGAGTGGAGGGGACAGTTCCGGGGACCCCAAAATAGAGCCTCAGGATGGGAAGGACACTCGTGCTCTTCTGGTGCAAATAAGTCCACAGAGTGTGTGAGAAACCCAGGCTCCCGGGTACCCCCAGAGATGTGCCTCCAGAGGACTAGGGTCAGGTTGGAAATTTCATTGTTTTGTTTTGTTTTAAGTTTATCTGCTTATTTTGAGAGACATAGAGAGAGAGCACAAGTGGGGACGGGGCAGAGAGAGAGACAGGGAGCAAATCCCAAGCAGGCTCCGTACCACCAGTGCAGAGCCCGACGTGGGGCTCAAACTCACAAACCTCGAGATCACGACCCGAGCCGAAGTCGGATGCTTCACCGACTGAGCCACCCGGGCGGCCCGGGAATTTCATGTGTAACACAAGCCCCGGTGAATCTGACACCTGCCCGGGGCAGGAACCCCCCGCGACAGCTCCTGACAGGTCTGCCTGCAGGTCGCTGTGACGGTCCCTCCCTCCAGAGGGCATCACACCTTCCGTGGCTTCCCCGTCACCCTTGTCCACTCACCGGCCCCCACTTACTGACTGACCCCGCCAGGCCCCCAGCCCCACACACAGAAAGGACCAGGACCCCCCCGCTGGGGGTGAGGGAAGAAGCAGATGAGTTAGGGCCCCCATTGGGGGGTGCTGGGGCCGGCCCCCGGGGAGGCTGCCATCGGAAAGAGGGTGAGAGGATGAGCGGGACGAGCAGGAAGAGGGTGCAGCATTCCAGACGTGGGAACACAAAGGCCTGGCAACAAAAGCAGCCTAAGACCCGAGAGGACATTGCAGGAGGCGGGTGGGCGACGGAGCCTGTAGAGCAGGCTCAGCCAGATGCCCCCGGAAGACCCCACACCTGCTGAAGGGCCTGGCTCAGCCCTGCAGGCGGCGGCAGCCACAGAAGGATTCAGAGCAGGAGTGACCGGGTTGGAGCTGCCCCTCAAGACAGTTCGGGCATCAGCGGTGGCGCGGGGGATGGGGATGCATGAAGTGAATGGGAAGCAGGAAGTGGATGGAGGACACAGAGTGGGCAGGGGCAGCGCCCGGGCCCCCAGCCCAAGGGCACTCCCGTGTCTGCTCCCTCTGTAACAGGTCCCAGACCCCTCTCCGCTGGGCAGCCCCAGGGAAGTACCCAGAGCTCATGGGGCTGGCATGGATGCCCACCTGGCCGTGGGCTGAATAATGTGTTGTTGAGCCCAGCCCGGTAGGCAGATAAGCCTCTACTCCCAGGGCCGGCTCCCCCACACCCCCCCAGGCTGCCTGTCTGTATACAGCCAGCTCAGCAGGAAGCTGGCCACGACCCAGGACAATTAGTGCTCGTGACTTTGTACCCAGCACGGAGCACGCTCAGGGACCAGAAGTGGTAACAAAGATCCTGGAGGCGCTTCCAGGCCTTTCTAGTCACCTGTGCCCGACCACAGCATGGCTCTGTGGCTTCTGTGGGCTCCTGGCCCAGAGCTCTGCACGCTGGGGCCCAGCCCTGTCCTCGGCCTGGAAGAGCAGCCTCAGTTCCCCTCTCCCGGGCGTCTGCCCCCGCCCACCTCAAAGCGCGGGCCCATAAAGGGCCCAGGAGGTTACCACCTACATCTCAGAGTGACTCAACTCCAAGAGAGGCAGCCTTGGCTGCGTCACATCTGCTGTGTGACTCTAAGTAGGTCTCTGGCCCCCTCTGGGCCCTAGTTTCACTGTCTGCACGCTGCATGGATGGCTCCAACTCCAAGGCCCATCCAACCCTGGGCCCGGCCGCAGAGGGCCTGTGGCAGCCCCTCCCGTTCCCTCCACGGCAGCTCCCCGCCTCTTTGTTCCCGGGTGGGTCCCGCCCCATGGGGCCTGGCCCGGATGAGGTAACGTCTCTGGAGTCCGGGGCTCGGGTGAGCTGAGGGAGAGGATCCCACAAAGCTGCATTGTCTCTGAGCCCCGGGGCGCCCCCAGCAGAGCATGGAGCCCACAGGGTGGAGGACTCGCAAGCCAGCACAAGAGTGCCGGGGGCAAGCCCATGGACCCTGCGGGACGTCAGCCTCCCCATGCGTGGGAGGGGGCAGCGGCGGGTCCCCGAGAGGACATCGGGGGGTGGGGGGCAGTGTTTCATCCACTCCAAGAGCAGCTCTTGCCCCGGCCACGTATGGGCAGCGCCCTGCCTGCATCCCCCACTGGGCCTTATGCTCCCAAAGATGCAACTGGACTGTGTAGTGAGCTGGCCGGGGCCCACATGTGGGCCGGTGGAAGGCAAAGGGGGCAAGCCCAGTGCCCCCTGCCGCCCGGAGCTCTGGTCAAACATGGCTCCAGGCCTGGCACCAAATGGATACCAGCTGGGCCTCCCTAGATCTCAGTTTTCTCACCTGTGAAATGGGCCTACCCAGCCTTATGCTTCAGGGCTGCTGTGAAGACTGAAGGAAGCCACAGTGCACGTGGGTACGGGCCAGTAAGGTGCCTGGCACTCAGTGGGGGCTCCGTAATTGGAGGTGACAAAGTAGGACATGACACCAGATTGGGATATGACCCCTTCTGCTCAAGGGGCAGGAGCGGATTGACACAGAAGACCAGAAAATACCTAGAATGTCATAGGTCACGCCCAGGAAGGCCAGGACTGTCAGCCATGTGTGACTGTCAGGTGGGCTCAGGGAGGGGGAGTGACCTCCCCATGGTCTCCCAGGAGGTGGGGTCCAGCCAGTCCCCAGTTCTACCCCATGGTGGCTCTCTGCAGGCACCTGCCAGCATCTCCCGGGCCCAAGGAGGAGTGGGGAGGCCCAGAGACCCATCCTGACCAGGCCTGGCCAGTGACAGCAAGATCAGGCAACCCGTGCAGACTGCGGGGGACAGAGAGCCCCATGCACTGCGCCCCCAGCCAGCCTCTGCTCTCTTCTAAAGGGCCCGTTTCACTCTCTGTCATTGGGGAGGGCGCCTAACGCTCGCCCTGGCCTCCCGGGGCCGCCAAGAGGCTGGGATGAACACCCCTCAGGGGTGGGGGACGGGCCAGGGCAGAGGCAGCCCGGCTCCGGGACCCCGATGTCTAAGGGGGCTGAGAAGCACAGTCCAGCACACCTCGCCCAGGCCGGGACCAGAGGCAGCAGGACAGGAGGGAAGGAAGCCCTGGGCACCAGCAGGGGCTTTGGAACCCAAGCCACAGGCTGAATGCTGTATCCTCACCAAGCGCCTTCCCACGGCCACGGTGGCTGGAGTTTCCTTGTTCGTCGGAAGTAGGTCCGGCCTTCGCCCAGGTGCCTGCTGGTTTTTCCAGTCTGGCCGCACAGAGCCGACTAGCTTTCCAGATCAGTCAGGCATCTCACGGCTCTGGTCCTGTCTCAGCTGTGAGGCTCAAGGCCCAGCCTGGCCCCCTGCCTCTGGGGCCTCACCCCTCCCGGGTCACCTGGCGCACCTCACACCCCCACTCCCTGCCTGAAGGAGTCAGGGCGCTCAGGGCCGGCCGGGACCCTCACACCCGGGAAGGGTGCTTGTGTGTGTCCTCGCACTTGACCTCAAAAGCAAGAGTGGGGTTGGCCCATGCAACACACCAGCTGTTTGCAGAATGTGGTGCGTGAGCTCAAATCTCAGGAGGCGGGAGGCTGGGGTGGGGGTGGCGGGCTGCCTGGAGGTGAGGGCATGAGGGTGTCCTCAGCCAGAACACAGCCTGAAGGGAAAGGGGAGCCCCTGGGCACTCAGACCAGAGCTGAGGTCTCGTGAGAGAGGCTCAGACACAGGATGTGAAGAGAGTTCATTACTGAGTGCCCCGCCCCCACACGGCCTCCTCTGCTCTTCACAGCCGGCCTGCCAAACAAATGGTGAGGTTCCCATTCTTCAGACGAGAAAACTGAGGCCTGGAAAGATTCAGTATCTCTGCCCAAGGTTACAAGGCAGGTGGCAGAGATGGGCTCAGGCTGGGCTCCTGGCATTGCCCAGACTGGTGCCCAACATCCCCACAGTCACGAGGATGACCCCACCAGACATAACCTGCATCCTGGGCCCGTAGGAACGGAGGGCAGGTCGCTGCAGAGCTCGGCAGGGGCGGCGGGCAGCCGAGGGCGGGCCCAGGGATTACCGGCAAAGGAAGTGCTCCCGAGACAGGTCTGGGCCCAGCTGGCCCGCGGGCAGGGAGGCAAGCCGGGCAGGCAGGCCCTCAACAAGGTGACACTTGGCCAGGGCTGGGCGCACAGGAGCCTCTGGCCACCTGCCCAGTGCGGAGCGGGCCGGCCCAACGGCAAGAATGAGGAGGTCAGGGTCACACGCTCTTCCCCAGGAAGGTACCCGACCCACCGTGGCACCCAGCTCCTGGGCACATCACTCTGCAGACCTGCTACGTTCCCCAGAGCAGGGAGGTGGTGAGTGGGCGCCGGGGACCCCCAGTTCGAGCTGCCCCTCCCATGCTTCGGGCTATGGCCTCATTTCAAGCTAAAGTGTCGGGGGGAGGCCTCGCACCACACCCTCCCCTGCCCGGGGCCTGGGGTTTATAATTTCTTGTTATTGCCAACAGCCGTGAAACTCCCCTCAGCACACAGAGCACTTTTACAGGCACTGTCTTCTCTAATTTCATCCCCAAACAACCCTATGAGGCATCAAGATGGCCACGAGGCACCGGAGGCTGAGACAGGTGGAGCCACGTGCCCGAGTCGCACCCTGGGTCGGCATGGGGCGCCGCCAGCCTTCGGGGCCACGTCCCCAGCCCAGTCCCGCCTGCCTCTCACCTCCTGGGAGCTCAGAGCAGACTCACGCCTGAGCTTCCGCCACTGAGAAAAGGCACAAAAGGAGGGGGCAAGGCCTGGGAAGCGGCCTGTCCTGGGTTCGCACCCCGCCTGGCACAGACAAGCACCTGAGCCCTGTCCCAGGAGCGTGCGGGCGCCGGGCACTGTGATGTGCAGAAAGTGCGTGCTGGGCATGCGGCGAGGGTGCAGTGGGCTGGGCCCCGTGGCTCTCTGATCTGCTGCCCACAGGCAGAGGCTTCTGCGGTCACCTTTCAAAAGGCGCCTCTTCCACACTCTGGACCTCCGCAGCATGAGCTGTCTGCCCCGGGAGTCGATTCTCGGTGCTAATTACATGGCGGGCAGTCAGCGCGGCGAGCGCGGGGCTTGGGGTCAGCCCGCCGGGGAGACCACATAAAAATGTCCCAACAGCCACAGACTCTCCGCCCGGAGAGCTCGCCGCCACTTGAAAGGCCTCAGCGGAGATGGGTGGGCACCCCTGACAAACAGCGACAAATTATAGGTGCAGGAGCCCAGCCCCTCATTAACCAGGCCTGGCGTCGCCCCTTCTCCAGCGATTTTGCTCAGATCACAGGCCCGAAGCCCAAGGAATTCCGACCCGTCAGAAGCTGGGGCCCAGCCAGGGAGCTCTGGTGCTGGCCCCCACGCCCCCTACGTTTCACTTACTGGCAGCAAGTTAAACACCTGCACGGGTGCCTCCATTTCCTCATCTGTAAAATGGGAACAACTGCTCTATCCCACTGGGTCATCATGTGGAATAAAGAAGATAACCACATGAAGGGTCTAAGACGGGGCCGACCCAAAGTCAAATACTGTGAAAGTGTTAGCCATTGTCATGCGTCCTGATCTGTACTCTCTGGGAAACGTGCTATACACAGTAGGTGCCAAATGATAGCTGGGTGCAAGGAGGGCTCCTCCTGCCACAAGCAAGGGATCAGGTGCAGGGTATCTGAGCGAAAGAGCCCAGCCCCCTCGCCCCTCTGCCCCTCTTGCGGACCAGTGGGATCCTGGAGCCCAGAGACAGGAAGGGAGTTGCTCAAGGATGCACAGCAAAGCGGTGCGAAGAACCCAGGTTCACCCTAATCCCTCTGCCTTTGCTCCATGGTGTCCTTCTCTAGAAAAGCCTTTCTGCTCTGCTCTCCCTCCTCAAATTTATTTCAACTCCACAGTCATCAAGGAAACCTTGCCTGACCTCAACCCGAGGAAGCTGCCTCTGTCAGAGCCGGGTCCTGAGGCCGGTGGGATGTCACACAGAGACAGATTCTGGCCCCCAAGAATAACTTCTGGGGAGCCAGAGTTCTCCAGATAGGAGACCTGCTGGAGACCAGGTGGTGAGCGCCCCGTCACTGGCAGTGTGCAAGCAAAGACAGGCAAACCAGTGTGGCATGGGCGGCTTTGAAATAACATGTGATGTGGAACCTTGCGTGGGCTCCAGCGTCTGATCAACCCATGATCAACATTTGTCTTATCTCTGACTGCCGGAGGTAGTATCCTGTCCCTCTGGGCGTTCGGCCAGAGGTCAGGTGACCCCGTGGCAGGAGGCTCTAGGATGACTGACTTCCGTGCCTGGCATAGGGCTCCGTCCCTAGACGGCAGGTGCGCAAGTGTTTGTTGACCAGCTGGCTGACCGGTTGGTCATTCGTGGCCACAGCCAAGCTCACCTTGAGGTGCCCCAGGTGCATGCGGGCCCGCTCACACATGTGCAGGAAGTACTTGACGTTACTCTCGTCCACGATGATGTACACGGCCACCTTCCTCTTGAAGCCGGCCTCCAGCAGGTCCTTGAAGATGTCCACGTCGGTGAACATGTCCATGACCACGGCGATCACCTGTGAGCAGGAAGAGACCGGGGCAGCTGGGCAGGGCAGCAGCGGGGACGGGTGCCTCAGTGGGACACTCAAGCTCTCCCACACCCACCACCCTCTCCGGGCGCCCCGCTCGCCCTGCCCCCACCCCCAGCCTCGGGGCCGGGACTGGACTCTGGAGCAGAGGGATTGGAGGAGAAGCACATTCAACGTGCCCGCCATTTCTGTAACACGAGCCTGTAGAAAACAGCCTGGTGTCCTGGCCGGTGAGGCAGGGGAAGGGAAGAGAGGGCGCCTTGGAGTCGGGAAGGGTCTGCAGCCTGAGGTGTGGAGCATGTGGGGGCCAGCCCCCAGGGCAGCCTTCCTCGTGGCCGTCAGGGCTCAGCACGGGGGCGCCCCGTTTGGGTCCCTTCCCGGGCTGCATTCCCGAGCCAGCGCGGCCCCACCATCGCCGTCCGCCGGCCACCCCGGGGCGCCGAGATGAAGCAGATGTACCGACAGCCAGGAGGCAGCACCTGGGACAGCTGTTCTTGAGGTCACCTGTGCGACCCTGGGCTGCCGAGGACTTTGGCAGGCTTTCCACTGCCACCTCTCCTACCTGTCTGGACAGAGCCCCAACCAGCACGTGTGACATCTGTCCCCACAACGGCTGACCTCCAGCCTCCTGGACTGGGCTCGGGTGAGGCCCCAGACGGCCGAGGACATCTACCGCAAGCCCTCGCCCGACGTGGGCAGCGACTCACTCCGGGCCGGGCAGGCAGTGGCACTGGCCCGAGTCGAAGCTCAGAAAGGAAGGACAGGGGAAGAACAGGGTGGGTGGGATGAGCTCCCTTGCGTGGTCAGCAGATGCTCGGGCCTGCTGGGGCCCAGTGACCATCTCCGGCCTCCTCTCTCGTCCCCCGTCCCTGTCCCACCGGGCAGCAAAGGGGAGCACAGGAGAACCAGGGCCTGATGCTGACAGCCAACACAGGCACCCAGCCCCTCCAACCCTTCAAGGCTGGCGCCACTGCCCTGTCCAGGGTCTGAGAACCTTCTGGAAAAGCCTTACACAGAGAAGCCAGGGACTCAGCCATACAACGAGCTGGGAAGAGTCAGGCTAGAACCGACCCAGGCCCGCTGGGGAGCCAAGTTCGCCTCCACCCCCGCCACGCGAGTGGCCTCACAGGCTCCCCTCACTGGGATCCGCAGGCACGGGGTGGAGGAGGGAGGGGGTGCACACTCCCTCCCGCGAGGGACATGTCTGCACACTCCGGTGAGCTCAGCTGGCTGGCCCCTGCAAGCCCGTCTGGGCTCCTCCTTGCCCGGCCCTGGACCGGATCCGTGTGACCCTGAGCAAGACACCTCGCTTCTCTGGGCCCGGCTCTCTTCACCACAACGGGGGCAGTGGAGCTCCGGGACCAGCCAGGGCTCCGTGGTGGCTGAGGCCCGGGGTTCACCCAGTTCCCGGGGGGGACACCCGCTCGCTGATCTGAGTCTCTGCAGGGCTCTCTCGGGTGGGGCGGAGGGGGTGGCGAGAGACCGTGCGGGGCAGGGAGGAGCCGACGGGGGCAGATGCTGGTGCCAGTCGCACAGGCGCCTCTGACCCAAAATTAGGCAAAGGGTATTGATAGGGAGTGAGCTCCCCGTCCCAGGCGACGCTTCAGGAAAGGCCAGAGACTGCTTGCTGAGGAGGTGGATGAGAGGGCAGATGAGCCCTGAGGGCAGCCGGGTGGGCTCACAACGGCCTTGGATTTCACCAGTTGAGCGCAAGGAGACCCTGAGGTGGATGGGGTGGCGGCAGGGACTTCCCGTCTGGGACCCCACGCCCCCAGAGCCAGCCCAGGGATCCCCTTGGATAAAGCCGCTCCTGGAGGCAAACAGCCTCACGTGCCACCCTGGCAGCAGGGTGAGAGGGCGGCGCCATCACACTTCTGCTCCGAGGCAGCCACTACCCCTTGTTTCCTTCCCCCCCCCTCCACGCCCGATGGGTCAGGCCTGGTTCCAGACCCCGCCTGCCGGGCAGATGGAGACCTGCCCCGGGCCTGGGCTGGGGGACGTGTCCCAGCAGGACCCACTGCACGTGTGTCCTTAAGCAGGTAGGGTACCTGATCCAAGGACCATCTGCTGTGGGGCCGGACCTGTTGGGGCCTGCCCCCCGTGGTGGATCCCTTCCACAGGGTCCCGGGGGCGTCTAAAGAGGGCTTGTAACAGGTGCCGGCTGATGGTGGGAGCAGGGGGCTGGGGGGGGTGCTTGGTGCTCCCCACGGAGGCTCCCACAGCTTGTCCGGTCAGAGCCAGAGGCTTCCTGGAGGCCTTTGAGTTCTGCATGCCGATGCCCATTCTGTGCACGAAGAGCAGGGACCAGGGACCCAGGACTAGAACCCGGGTCTTGCCCCGCCCAGCATGCCTTCTGCTGGAGAAAGCGAGAGCCCGTCCCAGGCCGCTGCGCCGCAAGACAGTGTAATGAGCCCTGATAACGGCTACCTCCTCCAATTCTCAAACATGCAGTCAGACAGTGGTTGTTACTCCCGTTTTACAGATGAGGAAACTAAGGCACAGAGGGATTCACTCCTTTGCCTAATGATCTGTTGGGTGGCCCAGCCTGCCCGTGACACTGTGACCTCATCAAGGGCAGAACCCCCATGCCAATCCCACGTAGAGGGAGCCCGGCCTAAGGCAGGCTGCGGGGAGCTGCTGTCAACAGAGCATGTGACCAAATGGCTTGGGTCGCAGCCATGAGGGAAGCCGGGGACAAGCCACAGCCCCTCTCGGGAGGCTGGCATCTGGAGATGCCCCATGCCCTGCCCAGCGGCCCTGCCTGGCTTGTCCGGGGCAGCTGGACCACCTCGCCATGCCCGCCGCTGCCCTGCCTGCCTCTGTACCCGCGGCCCGGGACTCCCTGCCTCCCCGGGCTCGACCCCCCCCGCTGGCAGCTCCCGGCACCCCCAGAGCTGTTTCTCTGACTCCCTGTGACCACAGAAACCACTCCTGGAGCAGAAGTGTGCTCGAGGGATCGGTGGGTAGAGTAGGTCTGCGGAAGCGTCGGGGGAGGAAGGGCAGGGGGGAGATGACCGCCGGGTGTTCTGCACGCAGCTGGAAAGCCCGGAAAACCGCCGACCATGGGCCCAGCCTCCGCTGCTGCATCTCTCCCCAGGGACCCAGCTGACCCCTCCCTAAAACCCCCGGCCGGAGCCACACACGCCACTGTCCTTGCTGGGCCACCCTCCTTTTCTCTCCACACCGACCTGTCCGCGGTCAACCCCCAACTTGAATGCCGCTCCCAGCTCCTCTCTGCCATTTGAGCGTGGATCGCTTGTGCAGTTCTGGGTGGCATGCTGTCTCCCGAAGGCCTGGATGCTGAGACCCAGGCCAGGGCCCAGCAGCTTCCCACCTGAGCTCCCTCTGTAACACCTGCCCCGCCCTACTTGGCCGTGGAGACGGGAGGAAGCTCAGAGAGCCAGCCGTGGTCTCTCCCTTCAACGTGCTCCAGAGCAGACAGGGGACACAGACGCAGCCCACCCACCCTGGAGCCCAGAGGTAGCCACGGCATGGTGCACAGGGACGCAAGGCCCTGGCCCTCGCTGGGTCTTGTGTCACGACCTGGGAAGAATAGGTGGGTGTGTCAATTTAAGGCTCTGATGGACACGCAGAGGGTGGCAGACTGTGCTGGGCCGATGCATGGCCTTGGGCAAGAGCCTTAGTGTCCCGGGTGGGGATGGTATGTGTGTGGTAACAATGCCCATCAGCACAGCTGTCAGAGGGCAAAGTGAATTAACGCGGGAACAGAGCAAGTTCAGGGCCTGAGAGCCCCAGGCTCAGCACTTTCCTGCGTCCTCATCACAGCCACCTGAGTCCCAACCCACCAGACCCAGAGCACGCTCCGGGGTGGACAGGCCAGGCATCACCACTCGCCATCCCCACCTGCTTCCGGGCCAGCCAGAAGGCTGGCGTGTGGTGGCAACTCCCAGGAACAACACAGAGACTGTTGCAGGCTGTTCAAGACCCTGCACTCGGCTTCCGCTTCCAGCCACGGCAGAGCAACAGAGCCTCAGCGAACCCTCCGCCTTAACAATCAACAACACGGACAAAAACCAGGCACGATCTATGAAACCGTGGCCAACAGGAGCGCAGCAAGCACGGTGACCCTGGAGAGAAGGGACACCCGTGAGGTCAGCCCCAGGAACACCTCAGCTGCCTCTGGGCCACAGCAGGGAGAGGGGATGCCAGTGCGGCCCGGGAGTCTCCGTGAGTTGAGAAGACAGAGCATGGCAGCCATAATTTTTAGGACAGAATACTGGAGGAGAGGGGGCTGCAGAGAGGAACACTGATGCCTACAGGGGTCTGCCCTTGAGCCTTCTGCTGGTGACCGAGTATCACACGCATGGAGGAAACCACGCAGGCTGGACGAAACTGCTAGAAAAGAATAGCTGGAATGAACAATCACCAGTGCTCACGCAGGACCAGGAATCATTTACGTCGCCCCCCTCAGCTAGACTGCAGACCCCTCTACAACTCAGGGCCTGCAGGAGAGTCCTCGGAAGGATATTACGTGAGTAGTGGCCAAATAAGCCCTAGACCAGAGGCAAACTTTTTCTATAAAGGCCACATGGTAAATACTTCAGGCTTTGCAGGCCATGTGACTGACCCACTCAACTCTGCTGTTATAGCACAAAAACAACCACAGATGGCACACTAGCAAATGTACGCATCTGTGTTTCATTATTTACAAACAGGCAGTAGGCCAGAGGTGGTCCTTAGTGCAACTCCTTCCCTGGACTGAGTCTTCTCTGGTCCCACTTAATAAAGCTTAAAAAACACCAGACTGGGGGTGCCTACATGGCTCAGTCAGTAGAGTGTCTGACTCTTTATTTCAGCTCACTCAGGTTCTAACACCAGGGTCATGGGATTGAGCCCAGCATCGAGCTCCTTACTGAGAGTGGAGCCTGCTTAAGATCCTCTTTCTCTCTCCCTCTGCCGCTCTCCCCTTCTTATTCCCTCTGTCTCTCTCTAATTAAAAAAAAAAATACACCAACTGAACCTCAAGA